CCTCCCCACACCCTCCCCACCTCAGGACTGCATTGAAACATACAGCCAGACTACCAACAATTTGCAACGCTCATCTCATTTACTGGAGCAGATTAGCTGTTGCATTTGCCCATATAACATCCACTTCATTCATTTCTAATCAATTTCATTTTCCCATTATTATTCCTATTAAAATACGTGCAACAAAAAATTCACTGGGATGAGTGGAGAGCAGGGATATTACTATTAAACCTCTGGTGAAGGGATTCTGCTGCGCTCAATTGACTGCTGCGTTTCGCCCACAAAAATACGCAGTCAATCCACTTTACAGTATATTCTGTGAAGCGCTTTGAGACGTCTCGAAGACGTGATAAGGTGCTACATCAAATGCAAGGATTATTATTATTATTGTTATTATTATCTCTGAGATGATGAAGTAGGTATTCAAAGCAAACATTCAGTGAAGTGAAATAACCTTGATCCTGTGAACAAACTGTCTTCAAGTGGCCAACCTGCTCATACTTTGTTGAAAAAAAAATGGGTTCCAGCCACCTTAATGCTTTCACGGCTGTTAGTTCCAACCTCAAACCATTTGATTGATGGCAGGAAAAAAAACCAAGCCTCGCTCTTCACGGAAAGTGAAGGGATGTGGCTTCCTGTTACTTGGTATTCTTGAGGAAAACATCTATTAAAGTGACAGGCACCGTGGCACAACTGTTTGTGACAGGCCGCAAGACGGAGCTTTTCTGTTCCCGGGCATCGCTGTTCTCACGCTCTTTATTTTTAGGCAGTCCAACTCAGTTTGGTAGCACTCCCGGCTCCGAGCTAGAAGGTTGCGGGATCAAGCCCCACATTGCGAGTTGGAGCTCATAGTCTAGGCTGATGCTCCTGTGCAGCGCTGCATTGTTAGAGGTGCGGTACTTCGGTTGAGATGTTAAACTGAGATCCTGTCTGTTTCTATTCAGGTGGATGTTGTGGATCCCATAACGTCTCAACCGAAGATGTTATGTTACGGAACTACTTGCAAAAAGGGAGTATTTTCCCAGCCAACATTCCCCCTGATAAAAATCCGTTCATTCACTTCAGAGCTGTCTCTTTGTTAATTACTGTCATTAATTATCATTCTTTGTTTCCTATTTCTTGCACAATTTATTATCCAGTTGGTTAGTTCTTCTTTTGTACGTCCATGATTGTCATCACAGATCTACTGGAGACCATTATTTATTACAGCTGTTTGATTCATTCCTACCATGCAGATAACACAAGAGATAAGGACTGCATGCTCTGCGGAAACATTGTTCCTTCAGCTGTGGTCCTGTAAGATAATGCTGTTTGGAACAATTTATGTCTTTCAGGGTCAGATGTAAAGTAACCACAAGAGCTGTGTAAGCCAGGTGTCTGACTGGACCCAGTTAAGCACACATTTCCTTTCTTATATCTCAAGCGATTGATCCACCCATTGAATGCAATGGGAGCGCACACGCACACACATACAGTGCAGACAAAGCAAATTAATTAATATCAGTGATCCACTTGTCATTTCATGTACTCAAATTCGACTAGGACATTACTGAGGAGAACTTCCACCCAGGTCTAAGGTGAAATTCTATTACTAATGCTTCAATGTGCTTCACAGGATTTTGCTGTGCAGTGCAGAGACTTCGTATTTGTAGGCAAACGCAGCGGCCAACTTGTGCATTTTACAGTAATTCCTGTGAAGCTCTTTGAGATGTCTCGATGGTGTGATAAGGCACTGTATTAAATGCAAAAAATATGAATGCCATGTGAGCACTGAACTTTATTGATGGTGCACTGGAAACACTTTTTCTACAAGCATAATGGCACAGACTGAATGATCCTGGAGTAGGGTGTTTCCTTGTTTTTTTTCTGACTAACAAATGTTTTTAAAGTCTGACAAATAGTAGATTAAGTACGTAGGAATGTACAGCCTGGAGGGGAAAAAAAACTATTGTGTTCCCGAACCAAAGGAATCTATAATCCTACTCTATGTCTCAATAAATTTATTTGGCAAACAGCTATCTAAATGTCAGTGTTAGCCTGCCTCATTTGGTAGCACTCTTGCCTCTGTCAGAAAATTGTGGGTTCCAACACCAAAGTCACACAGACGCTACAGTACTGGGTGGCGCCTCAATGTTGGAGATGCCGTCCTTCGGATGAGAGCTTAAACTGAGATTATGTTTGCCTGAAACAAAAACAGAAGTCGCTGGGAACACTCAGCAGGTCAGCCAACATCTATGGAGAGAGGAAAGCGAGTCAATGTTTTGGGTTAGAAGGGTCGTGGACCCGAAACATTGACTCACTTATGTCTGCCTGTTAAGGTGGATGTTAAAGATCCCATGGGACTATTTGAAAAGAGAAGGGAGTTTCTCCCGATGTCCTGGTCACCAAATCCCCCCAAATAAAATTGTTCACTCACTACACGGCTGTTTGTCACAGACACTGCCATGCGCAAATTGGCTACCACCGTTCACCCACAAAAGACCCAGTCAATCCACTTTACACTGTGCTTTGAGACATCTTGACAATGTGATAAAGCACTGTATTAAACGCACAAATTATTACTAGTTTCTCTTGAATAAGTTGACACAACCTGCTTACACTACTTCCCTATAGTCCAATCTACATATTTACCACTCTTTAATGTGAACCATTTATAAAGAATTTATCTTCCCTATTCTGAGCTGAGTCTCTGGACTTACTTTGAACAAAGCAGCTTTCTAATTGTGAATCCATGATTTCAAACTTGTTCCCAAAGGCACTCTTTGCACTGATCTTGTGTTGACAGTATTGCTGAACCTTGCCCAAGCTTATTGTGCAAGAGATCTGTCATTCAAAGATATACTTTGTTTGAGAAAATTCATAAAATAATTTTGCCAATAATGTTCAAGGCAAATTCAGACTGTTGAAAGCTTTGGACTTTAATAAGAGATCTATTAGCTGTCAGAGATGTAAGTGTACTCTTAGGGCAAGGATTTACTTTAATTGCAAGATTTATCCTGTTGAATTCAAGCCAAGTTCTTACAAGGAGAGCTGGGCAATGATGCACCTGGTCAATTGCTGGAATATCAACGTAAGGTGCAGCTCACGCATAAACCATAGAGTAATAAAAATAATAATAATCCTTGCATTTGATATAGCGCTTTTCACGTCGGGAGGACGTCCCAAAGCGCTTCACAGAACACACTGTAAAGTGAATTGACTGTATATTTGTGGGCGAACGCGGCAGCCAATTGCGCACAGCAATGTCCCACAAACAGTCGTAGATTGAAATTGACCAATTTATTATTGTTTTTGGTTTTGGAGGGATTATTATTAGGCTCTGTGTGGAGTAAGGAAACTTGCCCAAGGTTTCGCCCTCTGCCTGGAATTGAACTCAGGTCTCTCGCTTGCAAAGCGAGTGCTCTAACCACTGAGCTACAGGACTCAAGATGGAAGTTTATTTATTCATTTCAGGATGTGGGTGACACAGTCAGAGCCAGCGTTTATTGCCAATACCTGTTTGCAGAGGTTTTCTTATTTCGAAAAGAGTTAAGAATCTACCTGGATAGATAGGAGTCACATGTAATACACAAGTCAATTTACTTTACAATATATTCTGTGAAGCTCTTTGAAATGTCTCAATGAAGTGATAAGGCGCTATATCAAATGCAAGGAATATTATTATGTACGGCAGTCTGGGGAAGGATGGTTCAGCCGGGTGTCTGACACATGCAACAACCCATCATAAGATAAGACTATGTAGGGAAGCAGCGTAAGTAGATTATGTTACAGTATTCAAGAGGATTTATAGTAAGAGTATGTAAACCAGACTGAGAGTATGAAAGAACAAGATAGCTTGGGAAAAAAAAATGTAACTAGTTTTCTGTGTTTTTATTTTAAGCGTGTTATTTATGGTAAAGAGACAGGATGAGGAAATACCCTGGATAAGTATTCTGATTGGTAGGTCAGCCCATTGCAAAATAGATGTTACGGTCCAGAAAACCAATTAAGACAATTTATGACTCTTTTCCCCCACCGATGAACTGATCTCTTCCATCCAAAGGACACCCATAAGATTTTCTAAAGTTCCCCCACCACTCCCCTCCTCACCTAAAGACTCCCAATGACTGACAAAATAAAATCTTACAAAGTCATTCAGAACCAGGGAAGAATTAGAACAATTCAAGCCTCAGAATTCATATGAACAAATTGTTGAGTCTGGATATTTGGACGTGCTGTTACTCTTGGGGTGTTTTGTGCACCTTTGGGAGTGATTCTCTAGTCATCTGAAATTTATAAGCTGGGAAGATTTTCATAGTCTGTGCTGCTCACGTACATTTATGAACCAATTGTGCACTAATAGCTTTGTTCCTCATTCGCCCCTTCAGATATCTATTCAGAAAGAATTTCTGGTACTAAAAGGGCATTTTGCTGCTGGAAATTGGCTTTCCAAACAACAACAACAAGATTCCATTTATTGAGCGCCTTTCACGTCGGGAGGACGTCCCAAGGCGCTGGACAGTTGGGTCGGGACTCGAGCAAGGGGGAAAATGGTCAGGGTGAGGGGAGGGAAGGGAGGGAGCGAGGAGGGGGAGAGAGTCGAGAGGGGAGCTGAAGGCACAGTCAAAGAGAAAGGTCTCGAGACTGGCCTTGAAGGAGGAAAGGGAGGAAGCGGCAAAGGCACTGGGGGATAGAGTTCCAGAGCCTCGGGGCTGAGAGGCTGAAGGTCCGGCCACCGATGGTAGTGCGGTTGGGGCGGGGGATGTGGAGCAGACCGGAGCCAGAGGAACGGAGGGTACGGGCAGGTAGGTAGGGGGATAGTAGGTCGGAGAGGTAGGAGGGAGCAAGGCCGTGGATGGCCTTGTAGGTGAGGATGAGGATCTTGAATTCGAAAAGATTTGCCAAGATAGGCAGGCCACCAGTGTAGTCATCAAAAGCGTATAAATATATAACAACAGTATATGTCTCAGTCAGACACTGCTGCAAAGGTGCAGGAGGAAAATATATCAAGATCAAACTTTCGTTTTAGTTCTTTATTCCATTTGTCAAAATATACGAATGACAAGGTAAATAATGCAATACATTGATACAAGTACACAAATTAAAGTTCTTCAAATAGATAATGTTCCACCGCTCAATGAAGCATCCATTTTGCATTTCATTCCATTTAGCCGGTCCCAAGTGTAAGAAACGCAAAGAAACCTGACAACCATCGGAAGGAATGACCTGCTCGTGGATCTGTTCATGCAGTGCGCGAGAGAGCATATGGGTTCATGCCCACAATTCCTCTCACAGTGGAATTCCCCATCTCAGCCCAGACCCCCAAGAAAGGTGTTAAGCAGTAGCAAGGTCACACGAAGGAACCGCGGACCTAAGAGTAAGTCAACAAAGCAAAGTGTTGACTTAAAGCAAAGACTCTGATCAGAATGAAGGGGTTTCAGGTAAATCAAATTTACAAAATAACAGGAATTATATTAATAAAAAAATTAGATATAGCAAAATCATACTTACAATATACAAAGGTCACCTATACAGTTAGCTGATTTCAATGACACTGGATATTGTAAGTGTTTCTGTTTGAGACATTTAAACAGGTTACAAAAACACAGATTATCTTTATAAAGCTTCAATACCCATTCAAGAAACCACTTTTAGAGGAGATTAAGTTTGCTTTCAAAAATATATATATTTATATCTGTAGTTGGAGGAATTAATCCAGCAATTTAACTGAAGCATTCGAGGCTAGTCCTGGCTCGTTCCATTTCATGCAAAAAATCATAGAACTGCGGTAACGTCAATTCTAAACAAATAAAAAGGAGACAATGTTAGCAAAACAACAAAGAGAACTGATCACAGAGAAAGAAAAGCTGCTCACAAGAATGAAATAGGTGCATACTAACCGATGTAAACATTTTCACTTTTGATCCCCTTCTTTATAACCAATTTCAACTGCAACAAAACAGATTTCATAGCAACGCATTATGCACAAGGAAAAGCATTTGAAGATGCCTTTCAATTCACTGGACTAGAGAATAGCGCAGCTTATGTACATAATGAATAAAAGCGCACATGAAAACAAAAACTTGATTAGTAGGCACATGAAACATTATGAACCCCATGTGAAGCTTGAGTGGTTTTTAACAGTCATGAACACCAATTAAAATTAGATTAGTCTTGAAATCACAAATTACTACCTGGTATCTGATTAAAGGGACTGGATAATGCTACATGCATTTTTTTAAATATAGAAAATATCTTCCTTGCTTCTTTCAAGTTTTTCAAAGTGCATACCTTAGTATCACCAATAATATATGAAGTATCGGGCCATTCTAAAGTTGGTCAGAATAACCCATCACAGACCTCTAGATAGAACTGATCTGACGGAAATTTTAAAATACTTGGCCACAAAGCTCACATGGCTTTCTAGTTATCTTGCATCCTTATTCAACTATAATTTCACAAACATAACTGTCTCGTGCGGTGTCCCTCAAAGCTCTGTCCCCTCCTCTTCACCCTCTATATGCTCCCCCTTGGTGACTCATCCGCAGACATGGGGTTAACTTCCACATGTATGCGGATGACACCCAACTCTACCTTTCCTCTTCTACCCTCAACTCCACGACCCCCGATGTCCTGACAGCTGCCTGTCTGACAGCCGAGTCCTGGACAAGAGACAACTTTCTTCAGCTCAACGTGCGTAAAACTGAGGCCCTCCTGATTAGCTCACGTCAGCGCCTCCGCACCTCAGGCGCTGACAGCATCAGCATCCAAGGCTGCACTCTCCACCTCTCAAAGCAGTCAGGAACCTCGGGGTTCTGTTCGACCCTGAGCTGTCCTTTCTCCCTCATATCCGCACCGCAACTGGCACTGCCTTCCATCACCTCCGGAATGTCGCCAGACTACGGCACTACCTCACCCCTCACGCTGCTGAAACTCTGGTCCACGCCTTTATCACCTCAAGGCTGGACTATGGGAACTCTCTCCTCGCCGACCTTCCCGGCCCTCCCTCCATAAGTTGCAGGTCATTCAGAACTCTGCAGCTCGTGTACTGACCCGCACCAGGCTTCGCGACCACATCACTCCCACCCTCGCTCGCCTCCACTGGCGCCCCATCCCCCAGAGGATCGATTTCAAGATCCTCATCCTCACCTACAAGGCCATTCACGGCCTCGCTCCCTCCTACCTCTCCAACCTACTATCCCCCTACCTACCTGCCCGTACCCTCCGTTCCTCTGGCTCCGGTCTGCTCCACACCCCCCGCCCCAACCGCCCTACCATCAGTGGCCGGGCTTTCAGCCTCTCAGCCCCGAGGCTCTGGAACTCCATCCCCCAGTGCCTTCGCCGCTTCCTCCCTCTCCTCCTTCAAGGCCGGTCTCAAGACCTTTCTCTTTGACCGTGCCTTCAGCTCCCCTCTCGACTCTCTTCCCCCTCCTCGCTCCCTCCCTTCCCTCCCCTCACCCTGACCATTTCCCCCAATGCTCGGGTCCTGACCCAACTGTACAGCGCCTTGGGACGTCCTCCCGACGTGAAAGGCGCTCTATAAATGGAATCTTGTTGTTGTTGTTCAGAACCAAGCCACGTGCATCAGCCGACTGTTTATTTGATTCTCTTACACTCTTAACTTTGCCTTCCGTATTTACCTTACAAGTACAAACTGTCACTTTCCAGAATTAATGTATTTCCTCTGGTGCAGGTAATTAAGAATGTGTTCGAACAATACCCCACATGTTTGACCAATTTGTTTCGTGAATGATGAGAATTGGCAGCAGTTTATCTTGAACCTAGGGTTTTTGTAACTCATTGCTTTGCGGTTACTGCAAGGTGACTGTGTTTGTCGTGCCAAAGGTATAGCATTCAGTTCATTTAATCAGTGAAAGATAGAAACAATGACAAATACAGGGTGACCGAAAATTCATGATAATATTACAATGTCTAGTAAGTCTTGAAGAAATGCTGATATTTGGCAGTTTTTTTTTTACATAATTAGGGTAGATATCACAACTTTTTGGTTACCCTGTAAAAGGGAAAAAAAACAGCTTAAAAATAACATGAATAAATTTGCCGAGATTTTCTTAAAATACATATATTTCTTCTTCATGTTGGGTGAACTTGATTTTAATGAACAGTTGGTTGGAGGGTGAGAGGGAAGGGGGGAAACTGTTACTGGAACATTAAACAGCAATGACATAAAAGCAGCCAACAGTCTGGAATGCATTGCCTGAAAGGGTGGTGGAAGCTGATTCGATAACTTTTATGAGAGAAGTTGGGAGGACAAGTTTGCAGCGCAAGGGGGAGATAGCGGAGGAGAAGGACTGAATTGGACAACTCTTTTCAAAGAGCCGGCACGATGGGCCAAATGGCCTCCTTCTGTAATGTATGATTCTGATTGTGCAAACAAATTGTTACCTGGAGGAAAATGCTGCCAACTTTTTGTAGTTCACTGCTACCTGTGGTTACTGCAAGAAACAAAAAGAAACTTGGAATGAAACAGCTTTGATTTGCCGCATCTCTTCCCTAGGCACAGCCAATCAATTAAAATAATTCAGCATTAAATGCCAGCAATAAGTTACTTTATAGCATAACAGAAAAGCTGTCAACCNTTTTTTTGAGGAATGTGCAGACACAGTGCTATAAACATGACCTCTGGGAGATTTCAAAATCTCCAGCTCATTCATTTCTGTCAAATACCAGCACGATCAAAACAAGACTGACAGCAAATTTAGCAAAGCTGTTCCACATTGCCACAGGCTAAGTCAGAAGATACTAGTTCCAAATGAATGCAGGATACTTGCAATAAGCTGCTGAAAGCAGTTTATCTAAAGAGTGAGGGGACCTCGATGACTTGTAAGCACAGCAGTTAGTTATCCTTCACATTGTGGTAAATTCTGGTTAGGATCGATCCCATATGGAGTCCTGTAGCTCAGTGGTTAGAGCACTCGCTTTGCAAGTGAGAGACCTGAGTTCAATTCCAGGCAGAGGGCGAAACCTTGGGCAAGTTTCCTTACTCCCCACAGAGCCTAATAATAATCCCTCCCAAAACCCAAAACAATAATAAATTGGTGATTTTCAATCTACGACTGTTTGTGGGACATTGCTGTGCGCAATTGGCTGCCGCGTTCGCCCACAAATATACAGTCAATTCGCTTTACAGTGTGTTCTGTGAAGCGCTTTGGGACGTCCTCCCGACGTGAAAAGCGCTATATCAAATGCAAGGATTATATGAAAAGACTTCACTAACTTTACTAAGCCATACAGACAAGCTGTTCTCAGCAATTCTACAACTGACTTCAGTTCTAGAGGGCTGCAGAGGAGTGGGGGGTGGGGGGGGAAATCAACCAGGCTCACCATTCAGTGACCTTTACTGGGAATGAACATTGACTGAAGATAGGCTTGGGCTTGTCTGTGTAATCCACAGTAGAATAAGTTGCTAACAATCACTGGCTCACACCTGAAGAATGGCCAGCAGGACAAATTACCAGAGGACACAGAGAGAGCACCTTCGGGAGAGATGGAAAGGAAAGTTTGCTATTAGATTAACAATTATTGAGAAGAAAAATGCAATGCTTTTCCGTGTGTGCTTTTATAGATGGCTGGGACGGTGGTTAAGAGGATCAGTAGGCGAATGGAAAAACATTCAGTGCCTTCTCTATGAAGCATCTGCTGCATTTGTGAATCGTGGAACAGTCCTCACTGCAGTGCTGCTGCAAGCAGCACCAACACAGCAAAGATTACACAGTGACCACCGTGTGGCGGTAAAGTTCGAGGATTGCAGTCCTGTGTTTGGGAATTGCTGGAAAAGGCAAGCGTGACAAGATCTGAAGAGAAAACAGAAATTTGCAGCACAGAAGGAAGAATTCACGATTTATTGATGTGCATTATAATAAAACAAATCAGCTCTGTATCAAGCAGAAACATACTCTGCCTGTGAATCAATAATAAGATATCAAACAAATTACCTCCAAATTTCCACTCCATATCCACCAACTGATTGACGGTCAGGGTTTGTCCAACAGCCAGCCTGGACAAGGCTGCAGAATGTGCTTTCCACTGAAACACATGAACTCACAATCAAACAGTAAAGAGTATTTGTGTTGACTACATTCGTATCATCTGGAATTTGGGAAAATTTGTACGAGTTCAGGTGCTGCTACAATTTTTTTTGTTAAATTTAGTCAATATTCAAGAGCACCAGTTTAAAAAAATGTTCTGAGAAGTGGGGTTGATTTTATCTTTACTATAAAGTGAGCGACATTATTTGCTCTTATTAACATGAATAAACTGGGCGTTCAACAGCGAGTTTTGAGCAGACTGGGGGGAATTCAGGTCAGGGTAATCCATACACCCTGCTTTTAGACTGAACTTGTTCAAATCGCACTGCTCTTGAAATTATTTCCTTAGGCAGGAGTCAGGTTTCAATGCAATTAGTTTGCTGGAGCTACTATCTATCTATACTGCCCAAAACAAATCAATTAAGTGTCAAACATGCATTATAACCACCGCATCACATTTTTATCCCAATTTTGAATTTGACTTTAGACATTATGTGTTAAGATTTAAAATCGGGTTCAAAATGCATAAATTGCCATTTACCTGATCTGCAAAGCAACCAGCCTTCTCCTCACTTAAGCCTTCATAAAGGAAAGAAGAATGCAACAATTAAGGAATAAAACGATCTTCATTAAATAAAAAAAGTTTGCTGACAGCTGAATGCAACATACCCAGTGTAATAAAATCAGTTTTGACCTGGTCGGCTGTCAAATTCATTTTCAGGGCACCTGCAGGAAATATTTAACATATTTTACATGAATAATCATTCCATTAGGATGTCAAAAGATCACGCTTTCTAAGGCTTCTTCCTACAGTTAATGTTCAAAGCAATTCACCCATACTTTTAGCTCTGCTGTTATGCAGTCCAGCCAACTGGTTAAAAGCTCCAAAGAAGCATTAACTAAAGCGATCTTATCCTGTTAAATCGATTTGTGGAGATTAAACCAGCATTTTTTTAAAACTGGAACACAGTGGTTTTGAGAGTGAGACACCTTTTTTCTCAGCACTCCGCCCTCACTCTCTACATTACAAACACCGTCAATCCATTGCCCACCCATTTGGGAAATGAGCTTTCTCTCGTATTTTTAATAAAAAAAACTTAAAAGCAGAACAATTAAAGAACAACAAGTTTCAGCAGAATCTCCGATCAATCATTCAGAACTGAGCGCAGAGCCCAACGTGGATACGAAATTTGTTTGAAGGCATAAAACATCACCCATTACTGGGCCAATAGAAAAGTGCGGTCGCCCTTTTACCATGGAATCTGCAACAAACACCTCCTCCGCTACAAACCTGTATACATAGTGCATTTGGCCCTGGGACTGTCACCCTGTTTGCCTGACGCTGCTACTGTGGGAGGAGGCTCCGGTTGTGCATGCGCCGGGGAGTATTGGGATGGCGGAAGTGATGCGAGCGGGAAATCGGCTTTACCCGGTGCCCACGGCCTAAACTAAGCTCCTGCCACAAACTCTAGGTAATTGCTGTACTATTCAAATTAACATTTTTAGTATTTTAAACATAACTACAAGTTCAGCAAATATATGGTTATAGTTTTAATCCGGGTTGTTTCACAAACGCGTCTCTCAATAGCACCAATCAACCCGCCGCAAAATTTATCAATTTTTGCCCACACTTTTCATCGAAATTTGTCAAATTCTTGGCAAATACTTCCGGACTTTTATATTGGTCCAGCCCATTACCACTTTGTTCCAATTGCCCAAAAGAAACACTTGAAGCCTGGAGGCAATACGTTGTTAGACTGGGTCAAAATGTGATGATTCTGTTTTAAAAGCCCAGTATTTTTTTAAAAAAAGTTGTCTTCCTCCATTTCTAAATAGCACAGGAAGGAATTAGAAAGCTCCCATGTCATAGCATATGCAACACAACTTGGCAGCATCTGCTCAAAGTCTTACCGTTGGGAACCAAAAGGACACTTTTCACAATGTTTTTCAGTGGCGCTGGGCTCATTTCATTCTGGGCTGCAAAATCGCTGAGTTGACTTAACAGTCGCTCTGACTGAAAGCGAAAAAGATATGGTCAAAATATGGAACCTTCAAAGGCTTAATGAAAACAGAACAGTGAACTCTAAACAGTGAAGAGTTGCTGCCAATGTTCACTGTTTTACAAGCTAAGGAGCCACCTTACATATAGAGGTTCCAATGGCAGGATAAACAGTAGTTTTATTAGATCAGCAATCTCATTTTAATGGTGCAAATTTACATTTTTTTTTAAAGCTTCGACACACGACAGTGCAAAGGTGGTAACAAAGGAATTTGTTTGCTTAATATTCCATAACAGGAATGTCAATCACAGCTATATTGTTATAAGGAACTGACAAACCAGTGGTCCTTTGTTTACCCTCAGAGCAAGGTGGAAACCTACAGAAAAGTAATCACTACCTGCCTCTGCACACCTCAAGTGATTGGAGCTAGAATAGTATTCTCAGAGGATAATGTATGGCACAGTAACCAACAAAGAAATAAAACAATGGGGAGGAAGCGAGTACCACAACAACAATAAAATTACATTTGTATAGCTCCTTTCACGTTGGGAGGACACCCCAAGGAGCTGGACAGTCAGCGTTTTGGACCCAAGCTGGGATCGGGGGAGGGTGGAGGGCACGGGGAGAAGGAGGGTGATCGAAGGCACGGTCAAAGAGGATCTTGAGTCAGGTCTTGAAGGAGGCAAGGGAGGACGTGAGGCAGAGAGACTGCAGGATGGAGTTCCAGAGTGTGGGGGCAGAGTCTCTGAAGGCCCGCCCACCAATGGTGGGGCAGGTGAGGCGGGGGACATGAACCAGGCCGGAACCGCTGAACGGAGAGCACGGGCAGGTTGGTAGGGTCTTAGGAGGTTGCAGAGGTAATAATAATAAATAATATTAATCCTTGCATTTGATATAGCGCCTTATCACGTCGTCGAGACGTCTCAAATCGCTTCACAGGATAAACTGTAAAGTGAATTGACTGTATACTTTGTGGATGAAAGGTAGGGGGGAGCGATGCCAGGGAGGGCTTTCAAGTTTAGTACCAGGATCTTGAACTGTATCCTCTGTGTGATGGAAAGCCAGTGGAGTCGGGCGAGGATGGGGGTGCGGGAGAGGGCACGGAATGCAGAGTTCTGAATAATCTGCAGCCTATGGAGGCAGAAATTGGGGAGGCTGACAAGCAGGAAGTTTGCATAGTCAATCAAGCCTGGATGTTATGAATGCATGTATGAGGGTTTTGGCAGCCTGGAGTGTGAGACATTGGCAGAACCGGGCGATGTTGCGGGGGTGGGAGAAGACAGAGCAGATCATGGCACGGATGTGGGGTAGAAAGGATAGTTGAGTGTCAAACAAGACGCCAAGGTTCCAGATTGGCTTAGTAAGATGGAGTGTGCATCCTTGGATGATGATGCTGTCAGCGTCTAAGGTGTGGATCCACTGACGGGAGCCAATTAGGAGGACCACGGTCTTGTTGGCTTTCAATTGAGGAAAGCTACCTCTCATCCACAACTTGAAGTCTGACAGACATTCTGTCAGGACAGCAGTGGTCCTGGAGTCAAGGCTGGAGGCAGAGAGGTAGAGTTGGGTGTCTTCCGCAACCATGTGGAAGTTGACCCCATGTCTGCAGATGATGTCACCAAAAGGGAGCATACAGATGTTGAAGAGGAAGGGATCAAGGACAGAGCCCTGAGGAACACCGCACGAGACGGTGTAGGGGCTAGAGGAGAAACGTTTGTGGAGATGAAGTGGAGACGGTTTGAGAGCTACGCTCTGAACCAGTCAGGACAGAACCATGAAGGTTGAGGTGAGAGGAGAGGAGGTGGAAGAGGATAGAGTTGTCAAAGGTATTAAAGGCAGCAGGGAGGTCAAGGAAGACAAGGAGGCAGATGGACAGTCGCAGATGGACGGAATGTCATTTGTCACTTTGACCAAAGCTGTTTCTGTGCCGTGGACGGCACAAACACCTGATTAGAGGGGTTCGTGAAGGAGTGGCGGGAGAGGAAGGAGTGAAGCTGGGAAGCAAAGACTTGTTGCTGGACCTCGGAAAGTAAGAGAGAATATTCCTTTAAAAAAAAACAGCATCGTTCTGAAAGAAATACAAAAACATGGGAGCATTTTGGAACTCCAATGAATACCGTAAACAAAGGGTGAGGCCAATGCCACAGACTCTTTCCTGCCAACACCCCCCACATTCACACAGAAGTCCTAAATGGCTAATTTTTCTCTGCTCGTGTGGGGAGGAACTCAGTGCAAACTTTTCAACAGGAACCCTTTACTTACATATAATTAAATCTTAAAAGTTTCTAACAGTGAGTGGACAAGTTATAAACAGGCCCATTCCTGCACGTCTGGCCACTCACTCATTCCCCCTTCAGCTGCACGGTCTGGCGTGATCAAGGGAAAATGCAGGGCGTTCAAAGGTGTATCCAAAATAAAGCATATATTTCACCAATAAAAATCACTGCAGATTCACTGGAGAGATTCACACTGCAGAAGGCAGCATTGTCATCAAGTGCATTAAGCTTTACTCAGTTCAACCAGAAAATTTACAACACAAGAAAAATTTCCCCTTTAAATAAAGCCCGGATAACTGCAGAACTCCAAAAATATATATTTTCTTACCTCTGTGGGCTCCGTTACAAAGCTGAAGATTATTTCCGTCAATGCTGAGAATTGCTGAAAAAACAAAACTCACAAGATTATCAATGCTTTATCATCAATCGCAAAACACGTCAGTAATTGTCGAGACATAACTAATCCCAATTTTCATTTAGCAATTTGAGCTCTGATTAGGTTCCTTATTAGTGTATTCTAAGTGTATTACTGCAGTAAAACAAACTGTCTCATTAATCTGGTGCTTGATTTTGTCATATTGGATGTCTATTATAAAAATCCATCTGAAACCAAAGGTCATTTTGAGTGTGTGGTAGACCAGCCAAACACTCAGCTTCTGAACTGACACAAATTAATTTGGGACTTTATAATAAGAAAAATCCTTGCATATGATGTAGCGCCTTATCACGCCTTCAAGACGTTTCAAAACGCTTCACAGAATATATTGTAAAGTGGAGTCACTGCATTTTGTGGGCGAAATGCAGTAGGCAATTGCGCACAGCAGCGTCCCACAAACAATCATGGATTGAGTGACCAAATTATTTTTATTTTGAAGGGATTATTACTCCCGTAAAAGTGATCTCCCAATTGACTTAACAACCGGTTTACACTAACTGCTAGGTAAACAGAGGCGTGTGGAGTAAGGAAATTGCCCAATGTTTCATCCTGCCGGGAATCGAACCCAGGTCTCTCGCATGCGAGGCGAGCGCTCAAACCACTGAGTTACAGGACTCCGAAATCTGAACCTCAAATTTATTCGTGTGTACGTATAGGTGTGTATGTGTGATGGATGGCGTCCTGTAGCGTAGTGGTTACAGCACTCTCCATATGCAAACATGAGGACCCGGGACGTTGTTTGCGGGGACGCCGCCGCCATGCGCAATCGGCTGCCACGTTTCGCCCCACTAAAAATACACAGTCACTCCACCGCACGGCGTAGCCCGCGAAGCGCTCCGAGACGTCTCGGTGACGTGATAAGGCGCTGTGTGTCACAAATGCAGGCGACTGTTGCTGTTGATAATTTGACGCAAAGTGGTCGAGTTATCAGGCGTTTCCTTGACCTGTATCTCCTCAGGCCCAGGCCCCCTCCACAGCCACTGCTTGTGCAGCATCGGCTGATACCATTTCCTCCCTCCCTCTGGCTCTCTGGCTCACCCCCACCCCTCTGGCTCTCTGTCTCTCTGTCTCTCTCCCTCACCCCCACCCCTCTGCCTCTCTCTCTCCCTCACCCCCACCCCTCTGGCTCTCTGTCTCTCTCCCTCACCCCCACCCCTCTGGCTCTCTGTCTCTCTCCCTCACCCCCACCCCTCTGGCTCTCTGTCTCTCTCCCTCACCCCCACCCCTCTGGCTCTCTCTCTCTCCCTCACCCCACCCCTCTGTCTCTCTCCCTCACCCCCACCCCTCTGCTCTCTCTCTCTCCCTCACCCCCACCCCTCTGGCTCTCTCTCTCTCTCCCTCACCCCCACCCCTCTGGCTCTCTGTCTCTCTCCCTCACCCCCACCCCTCTCTCTCTCTCCCTCACCCCCACCCCTCTGGCTCTCTCTCTCCCTCACCCCCACCCCTCTCTGTCTCTCTCCCTCACCCCCACCCCTCTCTGTCTCTCTGTCTCTCCCCCCCACCCCCACCCCTCACTCCCTCTCTCTCCCCCTCTCTGTCTCTCTCCCCCTCCCTCCCCCCCTCCCTCTGTGTTATCGGTGTGTTCTGTGGGCGGAGAGGGCTTAAGTGGGTACCTGGTCGGACAGTTTGTTGAGGGTCTGGACGTCGCTGGACACCGACTCGGGCGGCGGCGCGAGGCCACAGCGGAGCTTCAGCATCTCCGCCCTCTCCCGCCCTCTCCCACCGCCGCGCGCCGCGCCTCGGCCTCGGCCTCAGCCCCGCATTCAGCGCCGCACATTCGCCACTTCCACAACTTCCCACAACCCACTGAAACCTCCACCACCACCACCACCCAAAAAAAAAAAAAAAATCCCACCGATGACACACACCCAATCCCACCCGGGGGGGGGGGGGAAAAGAGAGACAGAGAGAGAGAGAGAGTTTTTTTTTAATTCGGTGGAAACAAAACCCCTCTCTCTCCGCGTAAAGCGAAGGGGGTGGGGGGAGGGCGGTAAACGTGAGTCGCGTTTCGGAGCCGTAGATTCGACAGAGAGAGAGAGAGAGAGAGTGTGTGTGAGAGGAGTGTGAGGAGAGAGAGAGAGAGAGAGGGAGGGAGAGAGAGACAGAAAAAAAAAGGTCCCACGCCTTGTCCCCGGGAGCTCCCACGGCTGCAGAGCAGAGACGAGTCTCTGCACAGACAGACAGACAGAGAGACAACTGCTGCTACAGTCAGACACAGCACAACAGGGACAGGACACAGAGACCATTGCACCTCCACAGCAATACAACTCCAAACAGCTTCCAAACTCCCTCTCCCTCCCTCCCTCTCCCTCTCTCTCTCTCTCTTTTCCTTCTCCTCTTCCTCCTCCTCCCCCCCCACCCCCCCACCCCCGCCGACCAGGTACGACAAAACCCTCTTTATTATTATTATTATTTTTTATTTTTTATATTTATATACATTTATATGGAAATCGTTTCCTTTGTGTCAAAATGTGTAACTTTTCTGCTGACTCTCCTTTTTTTTCCCCCTCTCTCTCTCAGACCCCCCCCTCACCCCCCCATCCCCCCCACCTAAACCTATGTAAAATGCCAAGGTTTTAGTTACTACCTTCCTCCCCCCCTCCCTCCCTCTCCCTCTCTCCCTCTCCCTCTCTCTCTCTCTCAACTTTTATTTCTCTTTCAACTTTTTGTCTCTCACTCACTCTCTCTCTCTCTCTCACTCTCTCTCTCTCTCACTTCAGTTCAGTTTCTCACTGACTGGTGGTGAACATGGAGTACAGTGTATTCGGTTGTGAGAGGCGAGTGACACTCTCGTTAGCACCGATTCATTCAAGTGTCCTCTCTTTTAAACACACACACACACATATATATCGACAGATATATTTTAATGCGTTGTGTGTGCGTTTAAAAAAAAAGAAAAGACTTATTTTTTTTGACAGCTTTGGTGCTCGAGTCCGTCCCCCTCTCTCTCTCTCTCTCTCTGTTGATCGCGGGGCAACGAACTGCGCTCTCTTCGTGTTCTGTGCTTCAGAGTCGGGAACAACTTTCATCGTCGACTCTTTGCCATTTTTTTATGTGTGTGTGTGTGTGTGTTTTTTTTTACTCTTTTTAAAACGTTAGTCACTCACAACGTGTGTGTGTGTGTGTGTGTGTCTCTCTGTGTGTGTCAGAGTTGCACCATTTCAAACGTGGTTTCGTGTGGCATTTCAAACTCTTCCTCTCTTGAGACCGTGTCACAGTTATACCTTATTATTATTCATTATTATTCATTATTATTATTAATTATTCCACATGTTTCAGTTGTTGGGGGTCAGTCCTCTCTCTCTCTCTCTCTCTCTGTGTGTGTGTGTGTGTGTAAAAAAAAACACTCCCACAAAACATGGGATTAACGGGACTTTGTGGAGCTCTGGTACGTGTTTTTTTTTCCCTCTCTCTCTGAGATCCGAAATCCACCGCCGCCTTTATTGTAAAAGATTTTTTTTTTGTTCGCCCGAAACCCGCACCGAATCCTCGTGCAAACTCGCCACTTGCCACCGCTTCACGGCGCGCGGTTTCCCTTTGCAATCCACTGGGGGCGAAGGTTTGTAAAACTCGCAACACACGAGAGGTTTAATGCAGTGTTCGAATTGTATACCGGGACCGGGGTTTGTTTTTGTGTGTATTGTGGTGTGTATTGTGTGTGTGTGTTTGTGACTTGTAGTGGTCAAAGACTTAGTTGAGTCCAATCCCGAGGCTCTGGGGTGGGGTTTGGGGGACAGAGCTAATCAAAGGGTTCTTTATTAATTATCGATTATCTGCCGAACAATTGAATCCTCGCCAACGCTTGAACCGAATTGTTTGTCATCAGAATGCCATCAGATTGTGGCTTTTCCACGGTTTGACCGACCAGACGGTGTTGCAGATTGTGACCCCTGTGCGCGGACAGACTTGTGATTTGCAGCGATGCAACGAATGCACCGCTTGATTCATGCATTGAGGACGACAAAGTAAGAGGTGGCATCAACAGGGACTTGGGACGAATGAAATGCAAAGTGGGATTTAAACTGAGTCCTCTTTCTTTTTACAGTAAGAACCCGTACCGTTGTGCATGGGCGGATTTGGAGAATTGCTCTGTGTATTCTGTTGGATGATTTAATGGCGGTTCACGGCTGATCAAGGTTTTCCACCTCAGCTTAAATAATTGGCAAACTTTGTTTTTTTTTTGTTTGTTTGTCTACAAACTTTCCTCTTTATTGCATTATGTTATTTAGCAACTGGAAATTTTGTTCTATATATAATGGAATCATTGAGTACCAAGGAACCAGTTAGATTAAAAGCAAATGACTAAATCCTTATGCCGAATCTACCTGGGGAGGGGATTGCAGTGGTTATTGAAATCATAGCTTCACTTCACAGGATTTACTGTAAAGTAATACAATTTTTTTGTATTACAAACTACCAGAGCACCAGGTAAACTATTAGACTAATAGTTTTTGAACAGTGCAATGGGAGGTTTAACATCCACTCTGAGTGGGCACTCAGTTTGAATGTCTCATCTAAAGGACCATTACCTCCAGCAATGCTGCGCTCCCCCATTACTGCACTGGAGTGTCACCTGAGATTGTGAGCTCAGAGCCCCAAAAGTGGGATTTGAACCCACAACCCTCTACTCAGAGTCTAGATTGCTACCGACTGAGACAGGCTAACATCTGATTAATATAATGACATGTTTCAAGACCAGAATAATAACTATGGGAAACTATCCATCCCTCAAGTGAAAAGCAGTGCATTGGTTGCAGTCAACAACTGAGTTGAAGTAATAAAATGACTAAACTGAACAAGACAATAAACTGCTGTATAACATTACGAATTGATTTCCTTTTGCATTTCTAGCTCAGAAACTTGATATCTATTCCACGCAAGTGCGTCCAAATGCCTATAATAACTATGCAAAATTATTTAGGATGTAGAAAGTAAACCATGTAATTGTAGCCTTAAAGTCTAAATGCAGAATTGTTTCTTGGTCAGTTGTTTTGGAGTTCTGTAAAATTTAGGGATTAACTGTTCTTTCCTGCCTGGATTCTGTATTTTTATGTTTAGGATAACTCTACTTGCATTTTTTGAAGGAAATATTGAAAAGAGTTATTTTTTGAAAGATTGAAGAGATTGTTAGGTCCTTATGGTTTGTGTATTTTATTCAAAGACATTTAAACTGCTTTGTAATACTATAATAATAATAATCTGTTCATTTGAAATAGTGCCTTATAATGACTTTGGGACGTCTCAAAGCGCTTCACAGAATCTACTGTAAAGTGAATTGACTGCATATTTTGTGGGCAATACTGTGTTGGTTTTGAGTCCCGCGGCCTTATTTTTATACTGAAGGTGAAGATTTTAACCCCTTGCCAGAAAGTGTCAGAACATTAAGGAGTTCAAGAATTTTATAAATAGAGTTTGCAATGAAAAATAATTTTCATGCAGACGGAAAATGTTTGTAGTTTGACCATCCGAAGAGTTCCACCATTGTCTCCCAAATAACAACAGTACACCCATGGGTAGATTTAACAGTGGCAGCCCATTTCCCATTCACTTCCAGTCCATAAACTGTCCAATCCTGGAGGTGTGACGTAAGCTTAGAGTGGTGGATGCTGCTTTCATTCTCTGTCATTCCATTGAGCTGCTGATGCTCATTGTGGAGGGTCATTAGCAGGGGTTGCGTAACAGCAATGCTGAAAGCTGAGGGACAGGTTACTTGTCCTCTGTTGATCACGGAAAAGATGGGTGGACGTTAAGACCAGAACAATGCAGGACACAAAACTAAAGGGAACCATATATCCCATACACACAAATGAGTTCCAAAGAAAACAAAAATAATAGTCACTACGCAAATCCAGTGAAGCACTTTGAGACGTCCTCCCAACATGATGAAGTGCTAAATCAAATATAAGGATGACTAGCAAAATACTGATCTAATCGTTCAATCTTTACAACAACAAGATTACATTTGTATAAAGCCTTTCGTGTCGGGAGGACGTCCCAAGGCGCTGGACAGAGTACAGCATTTCAGACCCGAGCTGAGGGGAGAGGAAGTGGGGTAGCCGATGGCATGGTGAAAAAGGAGGGTCTTGAGGTGGGACTTGGAGGGGGCGAGGCAGAGTGACTGGGGGATGGAATTCCAGAGGTTGGGGGCAGAGTGGCTGAAGGCTCTCCCACCAATGGTGGGTTGGGTGGGTCGGGGGATGTGGAGCAGGCCAGAGCCGGCTGAGCGGAGGGAACGGGCGGGTTGGTAGGGATTTAGGAGGTCGCAGTGGTAGGGTGGGGCGAGGCCATGGAGGGCATTTTATATGAGGACCAGGATCTTGAACTTGATCCTCTGAAGGATGGGGAGCCAATGGACACGGACGAGAGTGAGGGAGATGGGGTCACAGAGGTTGGTGCGGGAGAGGACACGGGCTGCAGAGCTCTGGATTATCTGCAGCCTGTGGAGGGAGGAGATGGGAAGGCCGACAAGCAGGGTGTTGCATAGTCGAGCCTGGAGGTGATGAAGGCATGAACAAGAGTTTCAGTGGCCTGAGGGGTGAGGTGGTAGTGGAGTCGGGCGATATTATGGAGGTGAGGGAAGGCAGAGAGAGTCATGGCTTGAATGTGGGGAAGAAAAGACAGTTGAGGGTCGAACAAGTCACCGAGTTTCCTGACTGGCTGGTGAGTTGAAGTGTGCAACCATGGAGATTGATGCTGCCAGAGCCTGAGGTACTGAAGCACTGGTGTGAGCCAATCAGGAGGGCCTCAGTCGTGTTCATGTTCAACTGTAGGAAATTTGCCCTCATCCAGGACTTGATGTCAGGACAGCAGTGGTTCTGGAGTTGAGGGTGGAGGCAGAAAGATAGAGTTGGGTGTCATCCGCATACATGTGAAAGTTGACCTCATGTCTGCGGATGATGTCCCTGAGGGGGAGCATGTAGAAATTAAAGAGGAGAGGGCCAAGGACAGAGCCCTGGGGGATGCCAGACGTGACAGTGCGGGAGTTGGAGGAGAAACCGTTAGTGGCAACAAAATGGAGATGGTGAGGGAGATAGGAATCGAACCAGGCAAGGGCAGGTCCGTGAAGATTGAGTAAAGAGGAGAGGCGATGTATGAGGATGGAGTGGTTGACAGTGTCGAAGGCGGCAGAGAGGTCGAGGAGGACAAGAAGGCAGAGGGAGCCCTGATCACAGATGTTCAGGATGTCATTAGTGACTTTGACCAGGACTGTTTCCGTGCTATGGACAGTGCGGAAGCCATATTGGAGGGGTTCAAAGAGGGAATGGTGAGAGAGAAAGGAGTGGAGCTGGGACGCGACGACTCGTTCCAGGACCTTGGAGAAGAATGGGAGGTTAGGGATGGGGCGGTAGCTGGAGAGGAGGGATGGATCCAGCTAAGGTTTTTTCAGGATGGGGCTGATGACAGCTGTTTTTAGGGGGGTGGGAACTGAACCAGTGGACAAGGAGAGGTTGATGAAATTGGACAGGAGAGGGGCCAGAAGGTGGAGCTGGGAGATGAGGTGGGAGATGGGGATGGGATCGAGGGAACAGATGGTGGGTTTGAGTTTGCGGACAATCGTGGTGAGGGAGGAGGGAGAGGTAGGGTCGAAGGAGTATAGGGGAGGATGGGTGGCGGGTGGGTCATGAGGGAGTGGTGATGTGGGGGTGGCTGTGGACAGGGCTGAGGTGAACGTATCCCCTCGATTTTAGATTCGAGGAAGTCTAGCATATCCTCGCAGTTGTAGTTTGAAGAGAGAATGGGCGAGGTATGGGAAGGTGGACGGAGGAGATGGTTTGTGGTGTAAAAGATAAACCTGGGGTTCTCCTTTGCCTCCAAGATAACCTTGGAGTAGAAGGAGGATTTGCCGGAGGCAAGACCACGGCGGTAGGTCATGGTATGATGAAGCCAAATCTGACGATGGACCAGTAGTTTGGATTTGGTCCAGGCGCGTTCGGGAGCTCACACTTGTGCCTTGAGGAAACGGAGATGGCTGGTGTACCAGGGGGATTTACGGGAGTATGAGGCAGTTCGGGAGGTGAAGGGAGCAAGGGAGTCCAGAATGGAGGAGAGGGAGTTGTGGAGAAAAGAGAGTGAGGAGGGGAGATCAGTCAGTGAGGGCCAGAGGTGTAGGAGTTCAGATGACTCCAGGGCAGTGGAGAGGGAGAAGGAGGAAATACTGTTATTTGGGAGACAATGGTGGAACTCTTTTGAAAAGAGGAGGATAAGGGGTGACCTGATAGAGATCTTTAAAACGATGAAAGGTTTTTATAGGGTAGACATAGGGAAGATATTTCCACTTGTGGGAGAAACCAAAACCAGGGGCCATCAATATAAAATAGTCACAAATAGATCAAATTGGGAAGTTGGAAGAAATTTCTTCACACAGAGAGTAGTGGGAATGTGGAACAT